GCACCCTTTTCAATCAATCTCGAGAAGTAGAACCTTTGAAGACATAAGTAAAATGAAGAACATTGTTTCAATTTCAAATTTGCAACTAACCTTGGCATCATTGAAATCAGCATCCAACATCTTCAATGCATCTCTAAAGCAACAAGCTTTAGTGACCTTCTCTAAACCTGCATTTTTTTCACTTTTGTCTAGGTCAAATCACATAGAAAATGTTAGCAAAAACCGATCGTTCAAAAGGGAAAGAAATATCATCAGTTCTTTGCATTTGCTTTAGATGCATATTTTATCATAAAAATCTAGTGAGAAAACAAAAGAAACTTGTAATAGAAACAAAGAATGAATAACCCATCTCACCAGACATTAACCCTTCCTTTTGAAATCTTCTCCATCTTATTCCTATCACATTATTCAAACCCTTTCGCAGTAAAACAAAACTAATAACCCAGACCTGATGGCAAAAGAAAAAACAATCACTTTGGGGTCCTTGCATAGAAAGAGCTCGATAATTTTAACAATATAGAAGCAAGGATATCCATAACAACAAAATCAAAATCACAACACTCAACACAATATCTACAACAATTAATTTTGTTTTTATTTGTCAAGAAGAGATTAGAGACCAGAAGAACATATCCAAGATACATTAAGATATTGATCTAGAGAAAATCACATATCTACTGAAAGCTAAAAAATGAAACATCAAGATCATTCACTAACATAAGAATGTCTAGATCAAACTCGTTTCCACCTAAACAACTCCGTACTCATAGGCCAAGTAATGAATTTGCAAAGAGTTAGATGCAAAACAACTTCCATAAAATTGTCTCCTTAGGAACCAAATATGTAAATAAAATCTAAACAAAACCCATAAAAAGGGAATTAGATAAAATCGAAGAAAATTGGGACATTGTTACACCTTCTACTATAAAGGAATCTGATGGAAAGCAGAACACTAGAGTGGCTTCTTGTCCATAACCTCTAATTTCTTGTAAAAAAAATCTACTAAATACAAATCCCACTGTTACTTTAAACTAAAGAGAAAATGACATAAAAAGAGTAATAAAAGTAAGAAATAAAAAGATTTAAAAAAAAAAATTCACCATACCACCGGTGGAAAACCTCCCCCATTCTTCCCAACATCATTCTGTCTCCCATCCTTCCAATTCTTCTACCTTTCTGATCGATCTCAATCAAATTTAATTCATACACACCACAGGTGAAGACCCAGAACTGTTAGTGATCTTTTCCCTTTGAGTCTTGACCAGCACTCTCACTGTCTCTTTTTCTTCACTTATTCACCATCTCGACAAGGAATGAGAACGGTGGTAGAGAGAACAATTGAGCTAAAAGTGTCTAGTTGAGGACAAAGAAGAGGGGAGGGGAGGGGAAGGGAAGGTTAGAATAAGTGACAGTGAGAAGGTGGATGTGAATAAAAAGAGAGCTCTATGCTAGTGGGGAAAGGGATTAGAATTAGAATGGATGGGAAAGGAAATGGAAAAAAGCAAAAATGCCAGCTTAGTGTGTTTGATTCAACACATCAAAGATTCAATTTCGATCCATAATCTGCAATCCGTAATCCAATTTCAAAGGCAAGCATGAAAAGGGGTATGATTTAACGGCTAATGAATGTGTTTTTTCCCTTACCTTATTAAATTTGAAACTTCTAGTTCTTTACCTTATATTATGAAGTTTTTAACCCTTAAAGTTAATGATTTAAAGATTTTAACCTCTAAACTAATAGAATTTGTTAACTCT